TAATACACGCTAACGCCTTACTCTTGATCAGATTGGGTGACGAGATCACTAATTGAGTGCAAATATCACTGACTGAGTGCTCGGATCACATATCCGATGGATTTTAAAATGGTCATAACTCAGCCATATTTAAACCAATGAACTTGAAACTTTTGGAAAAGTTTTCAATTATGAAGCCAAATGTGTGCAAAAAATTTTGAGTTCTTAGCTTAAAGCGTTCTCATTTTATGAAGACAATAGTGAAAAAGAGGGAGTGTCACGCCACGCCCACTGTAATTGGGCGTGGCTTACGAAACTTTCAGGAAATCTAAGTTTGACCCATATCTATAATCTCTGAAATTTTGGTGCAATTTGGAGACGAATTACGTGAGTTATTAAAAGGTTGCGTGTGGGTAGTCACTTATGGGCCACCCTGTATTATTTTGTGTATCACAACACTCCCAGCTTCTGCTAAAATACCATCTAGAAATATATTATTATTAGTGTAATATGGTATTGGTTAGTGCTACTGTTTGTGGGATGGATAATTAATATAATGTTAACCAGCATTCAACGTGTTTTGAGATCAAACATGGCCTGCAGATTGTGGCGGTCAAGAAAAGCAAAGATGCCCCATGAAATCTGGGCATATAATGTTAACCAGCATTCAGCGTGTTTGAATGAAACTAATAGTCGTGCTGTAAAACTACAACCATTTAACAAAATCATACCTTTGATTAACCCGTTGTTGGGCCCCACGAAAAACCTCACCGAACCTCCACGCGGTGTGGGGTGGGTGGCTCGAACGGGAGGTGCATGGGTGTTTCTAACCTATGCAAAGGAAGGGACTAGCCATCTCTACAAGTACAACAAGGAAAGGCTCTAATAGCCTCTACTAACCTTAGAACCGCAGCATAACCGCTTTTCCCACAGGCAAATAACACCTTCCGCAGGAAACTAACACGCTCACAGGCCACCACATGACGTGTAACCCCAGGATTTGGTTTTGGATCGGACACTCAAAACAACGATAGAGGAGCGGTCTACACGCTCACAGGCTGCCATGTCTCGTGTAACCCCAGGATTTGACACGTTCACAGGCTACCATGTCTCGTGTAACCCCAGGATTTGGTTTTGGATCGGACACTCAAAACAACGAAAGAGGAGCGGTCTACACGCTCACAGACTACCACGTCTCGTGTAACCCCAGGATTTAACACGCTCACAGGCTACCACGTCTCGTGTAACCCTAGGACTCTAACACTTAACAGACTCTAACACGCTCACAGGCTTCCACGTCTCGTGTACCCTAGGATTTGGTTTTGGATCGGACACTCAAAAGAACGATAGAGGAGCGGTTTACACGCTCACAGGCTACCATGTCTCGTGTAACCTCAGGATTTTACACGTTCACAGGCTACCACGCCTCGTGTACCCTAGGATTTAGTTTCGGATCGGACACTCAAAACAACGATAGAGGAGCGGTCTACACGCTCACAGACTACCACGTCTCGTGTAACCCCAGGATTTAACACGCTCACAGGCTACCAAGTCTCGTGTAACCTTAGGATTTAACACGCTCACAGGCTACCACGTCTCGTGTAACCCTAGGACTCTAACACTTAACAGACTCTAACACGCTCACAGGCTTCCACGTCTCGTGTACCCTAGGATTTAGTTTTGGATCGGACACTCAAAACAACGATAGAGGAGCGGACTACACGCTCACAGGCTACCATGTCTCGTGTAACCCCAGGATTTTACACGTTCAAAGGCTACCACGCCTCGTACCCTAGGATTTGGTTTTGGATCGGACACTCAAAACAACGATAGAGGAGCGGTCTACACGCTCACAGGCTACCATGTCTCGTGTAACCCTAGGATTTAACACGCTCACAGGCTACGACGTCTCGTGTAGCCCTAGGACTCTAACACTTAACAGACTCTAACACGCTCACAGGCTTCCACGTCTCGTGTACCCTAGGATTTGGTTTTTGGATCGGACACTCAAAACAACGACAGAGGAGTGGTCTACAGTGACGTTACAGGAACAGTGCATACTCCTACGAGTTGCATGTAGCAGGCCATGACCGTCCCTGGAAGTCCCTGTCTCCTCATCGTTAACCCGTAAGGGGTTGCACCAGGGGCGGTGGTAACAGAACTTCAAGACTCTCGGAGTCTGTTGTCGATATCTATGTATAATATAATTATGGTATATAACTTGGGAGTCTCTCTCTCTAGCAGCAGGAGTTGGAGAATGGGGACGCGTTGTGAAAGCCACCGCAAGGAAGGCTTACAGTCGACGCCGACCAATCAAAAGAAGAACCCGTTGTTGGTTCGCACGCAATATAATTACTATTAATAAATAATAATTATTATAATGTTCACGTGCCCTCATTTGACTGTGTCTACAGTGTACAGTCTAGTTCCCAGTCCCACGTGCAACTCTAATTTTATTACTTTGTTAACTGGAACACTCCGCTTCTGTCGAAACTCGAAATACCGATACAAGAAATTATAAGAAAATAAAATAAGGTTAGAATTATCCAAACATAAATTGTAATTTCTTTGTTAGATGATCAAAACTGTGTAGTCAGATTGAAAGCATATATAACAGCCGCGCCGCCACTTCAATTATAATTGACCGAATTGTTTTGCAACTTAATTTGATTGGAACTCATGGGAGCATGTCAACAGTCCATATTATTGTGGTGAACAGAAAAACTCCCATGACTATGAGTTGTGCCATTGAAGTAATATAATTGTTGGTTACATCTCGTTTTGTTTATCATTATGACGAGGAAGCGGCCCCCTCTTTAAGAAAAGTTGCAGTATCTAGATAGCCCGACCCCTGTCCGCGGACAACTGTCCACGGACAACTGTCCACGGACAGTTATTTACAATTTAAGTACAAGAGTCTATCATACATCAGTCTAGTTTAAGTTGAATTGAGCGGCTTTTTAAGAAGGTAAGTAACCTTTGTAAAACCCCACTCGTGTTACCTGTTAATAGTATTATGGAGGTAGGGCTTATTGTTACATTGTTAAAAGTTTGAAGAGGCTATTATAATTAAAGAGGTTATTGCTACTGGATCGTATATAGCGTGTCTATAAAGCTATAACAATATAAAGTCAAAAGTGGTGGGTATTGGGTACAAGAACAACTTTTGTTCTTTCATACGACACGTCGAAATGTGACGTTGAATGTTGTGCCTCTATGCCTCTACGTTTTTTCCATATAAACAAAATTTGACCAAAACCCATAATCATGGGTAGAGTGTACCGCTGCCAGTGTCTCTCTTTTCCAAACAAAAGGAAATGATATTAATTTGAATAACCGTCCGAAAATGCAAATTGATACCGAGAATGAAATCGGTCGCTCGCTTTTTCCATTCGATCACGGCTTACGAATTATAATATAAAGCTTATTGATTGGAAAAAGCGAGCGACCGATTTCATTCTCGGTATCAATTTGCATTTTCGGACGGTTATTCAAATTAATATCATTTCCTTTTGTTTGGAAAAGAGAGACACTGGCAGCGGTACACTCTACCCATGATTATGGGTTTTGGTCAAATATCATCTCTTTTTGATTATAATGTCAGGATAATTTACAAAGCCGAAATGTAAACTCATAACTTCATTAATATTTATATTAATAATTAGGAGGTAATTTCATCGATTTCGAAATTTTACCTGACTGAATATGGCACTTTTTACTCATTCAAGTTGGCATTAAATTCATATATAATGCCATTTAAATATCGTGGGAAAGCAGAATTTATTCGAAATCACGAATGAGCAAAATTCTCACCTTTCGCACGTGCAAACTTTGAGCGGACGTTGCGTGCGGATACAATATTGAATCACCGTAAATTTTTGCATAGCAGTATTTTATATATAGTTTAATAAGCATGCAAAGTTTCAGAAGATTTCATATAGAACTTGGATCACAACGGGACTCCAAAGTTGATAAAAATGGTGAAAACAGCAATTTTCAGTAATTTTAGCAATTTTCTATCAAATTGGGCTTGTCCCGACGTGTGCAACTTTTTGAATTTCAACTTTAAAACTAGCCTATAACACAATTTAGACCTTTAGGAAGCAAAATTGAGCTCCACAACCCAAGGGATGGCCCAACACCAGAGAATACTAATTCACAACTTTTGTGTTTTTATAAAATTATTCTTCAAAAAAGCACTTACTTCAATAGCGAATATCTTTATGAAGGAGCAAAGTAAGAAACTTTTCCGGTAGATTTTCAGAATGCTTGAACAATTATCTAAGATAAAAATGTCCTCAGATTTTGAATAAAATTACTCCTTAATGGTTTAAAATCGATTTGAAAAGTTGTTACTTTGTCAAAAATCAAGTTTTAAAAACACTTAATTTGATGACGTCATCAAGTGATGATGATGAAGATAAATTATTTTTTGATATAATGTAAACTAAAGTATAAACAATTATCTTCAAAACCTGTGGTTCGAAATGACTGTATCTTTTATACTTTTGAATCTACGGACACTTAAATGTAGGCTACAATTGACTGCAAATTGACTGCAAAAGCGTCTATACTATACTTCACGACAATCTGTTGTAAAACAGGGGTTCCAGAAAACCCACTTCCCGATACTCCTGAAACATGAAATTTTTTTTACAGTCGATTTGGACAAGGTCTAGACGCCCTGCAAAGTTTCAGATCTCTTACTCAATTTTAACATGGTTTTTAAGGCACCTGAATATGGCGATTTTGGGTTTTTTACCTAATTTCGTATAACATGCTGGCGCGTATTTTGCGCAAATTTCTTAAAAACCTCCACATAACTATTTCTTATTCCTGTCATCTTTAACATTGAATTAGAATGTTTTGAACTTAAATATAGGTACCTGCTGAACTACTTTCGATGAGTCTTAATGCCTGGAAAACAATAAAGGGGATATACTAGTATAGGGGGTAAATAGTATTGTGAATATAAGGGCGACGGTAATGCTTGCCAGCATTGTGATAAGAAGGTCATAATATGTATTTGAAATGAAAGTGAAAGAAATATTTACATAAAATAAACATAAACGGATTATCTGACATCATGTCTGAAAGTTGTAAAAATAAAATTGTATACTCATCGGGCAACAAAACGAAATCTAATTGTCATACAATTTAAAAACTTATTTATGTATTATACCTCCGCAGCTAGATCAATAACCATAGACCAGCTCTTCAAAATAAACGTATACACTTTTCATATTATATCATGAACATTCAACAATGTCAAAAATTTCTGTAAGCTGAAACTAAATGCAACTGCACAATCCTGTTTTCCATTTTTGAGATACATTCCTTAATTTCAATTTCCCACCTATAAAACTAAAAAGGACCCTTTAGGCACATTCCTTCATGACTTGATCAAGCATCGCTCCGAACTCGTCTGAATCTATCACATGGTCTTGGTTCTTATCGAATTTAGAGAACTCCTGCGGAACATATTTATATTTTAATATTAAGTTCGATAAAAATTTATTAGTACAGCGTATCATTAATTTATAACAACGTATATCAATATGAAACGCATGTAAATGAAAAGGACAGCATTCTCAATTAATGAAAGACTTCAATTAACATTTAATGCTCACAATTAAATAAACAATCATTGTAAAAAAATCAATATCGAAATTAACATTAAATGCAGCTGATTATGGTGATTATTTTTGACTCAAAAAGTTTCCTGGTATGTACCACGCAAATCAGAAAGTAATTTAATGAATGACACGAAATGTCTGTAAATGAAAGTTACAACATAGACGATCTTTGATATTAAAAGTTTGACGTCATGCAAATGTCACGACAAGGTACTTATATTATATGGGGTAGAATTTCAATGTACCTTTTGATTGTGCTGCAGGTTAAAGAGGTTGTTATAAATCTATAGCATGTATAAAATAAACTGTGACAGATTTGAGATTGATGACCACATCGCTGCATTCGCTATTTTCTTAAATGAGATATTCTAAATTCTTTTTTATTATGTTTTAGTTTCATACCATCAAAACCAGGGACAAAAGGATTTCGCGGTAATTTTGGCAAAAATCGCGATACCGCGATTTACATTTCGCGGTATATTAAACTATACATAAAATTTGTCGCAAATAATGGGAAAAAATGGGATTCCGTACATGCTGCGATTTCCTTTTGTCCCTGATCAAAACTGATTCACTCGATTACTTGTTAACAATAATTTAGATTTTAAAACAATCAAAATTTAAATGTTTACTACACTATCGAATATTTATCACTGCAATGTGGTCACCACCTTCAAGTTCAAATGTAGATTGAAATTGAAATATGAAACAATCATTATTTATTACTAATAATCTATTAACCGTTTTTTTGTGTCTGTTAGCAGTTTACCAAGCTGCTATGACTTTTGCCATCTGTAACTTTGGCTGTTTAATTTTTGAATAGGATTTATCTAACTCACATATGCGATGACGCTGTATTATATAAATAATGATAAAACAATTACGGATTTCATTCTAGCTTTCCAAATGTTCGGTAGCGATTGAATCTAAGGCTATCCTTAACTAAAAAGTGCTCTTGTAGGCGCTTGCAATATCTGAGGAATCATGCATATCTATTATTCACTTTACTATTTGACTCTCCATGCAATCAACTAAATACATGCGATTACCCTTACTGTTTTAGACTGTTTTACCTTTGAATCCTGTAGATAAAGAATGTTTTTGTTGGGAATTGTAGTACTAATTGTAGTACGCCTTGATTCACTGCAGGCTATTCATATATACAGGTTTGGTAAAACTAGATTATTATTTTTCAAATGGGACCAGTTTTATATCGGTTATATAAAACTAAAAGCTTAACAACCGAAAAGTGTAAAAAACGTACGGTAGCGATCTTTTGGAATTTCTCCTTCAAATGTGTAGGAACACGTTTCAAGAACTTCTCAAACTCCTCTGGTGATAATCCCTGCTCCTGGTCCATCATTTCAATGTCAGCTGCGATCTTCTCAAGCAGCGACCTGTCCATCGCTCTCATCTTCTCGTTCAGTTGAGAGAATATCATTTCTTGAAGCTTCTGGAACCCCTGTGGTTGTATGACGTTGAAATGGTGGAGTCACGGCAGTTATTATTTGAAGTACTCATGGATAAATGTGCTAACAGTATTAAATTTTAACAATATTGGTAGGGTATAATTATATCTCACTTAATGTATCAATATAAGAAATGAAATGAAATAATGTGCTTGCAATGTATATCGCCCATATGGTTAGCAAATGACACAATTACTGTCAGGTAATAGCCATGACAGAGCGGTTCTAAAGGGCGAGGTGAAAATATCCAGCAACGAAAAACTAAATCATCTCAAAAACAAATATATTCAGAAAAGGATCATTTTAATTATAAGAATATTATAATATCATATTAAAATGCTATATTTAAATGTATGTCTAACTCTAAATATCAGAAAACAGAATAAGTAGTGACGAACAACAATTTCGCCATCAAATAACTAAACAGTGTTCGAAAACTTACATTAAGCTGTTCCTGCATTCCGTCCCTAACTTCAGCCAACTTCTCGTTCTCCTTGGAGAGCTTCACGTAGATCTCCTTGAACTTAGCAGCTTGAGCCTCTAAATCTGATACACTAGATGACAGCTGCAGGTGGGGAATTTTGTTAATATTTCCTTTAAAAGCTTGTTCTATGTCACGGGAATTGAAATTCGTGTCTTACCGTTTATACTCAACTAACAAATTGAAATTCCTATAAGCCAAGAATTTCTCATATCGTATCATTTAATATGCACACTATAATCAATTGCATATCTTTTGAAGCTACAGGTCCTACTAGTATAATATCAGGAATTGACCGTATGAGACAAGTGACCATGTTGCAAATAAAGTACCTGATTGTTGGTAGCCTCTAGTTTCTCTGTGTTTTCTTGTAGTGCCCTGTTGTTCTCTTGGAACTTAGCGCTCTCTTCCGCCAGAGCGTTCACCTGCACGATTAATGGTATTATGGTTCTGGTAAATGACAAGTAAATGGGTTATAATTGTTTAGATCCATCATTCATAATATCATTTATAAGCAAAGAAATAATTCGATAAAAGAGTTCTTGAGCAAACCTGAGATTCTAATTTTTGGTTGTTTTCTGCAAACTTTTTGTTCTCTTCCACCATTTTTTCTACTTCTGCCTTCAGTCTATTTATCTCTCCCTCAAGTTTCGCGTTAGATTTCTCGAGCTTGGCATTTGCCTTTTCAATTTTCCCAACTTCTTTCTCGAGCTTGGCATTGTTTTTCTGGAACTTTGCGTTTTCTTTCGTGAACTTGTTGATTTCTTCCTGTGGAATATAGATATAACATGAATGAAACGCATCATATAACGGTTTAAATTAAATTTTTGCACCAAGACGTTTATTGACTGAGAATGGGATGATACTCATACAATGTTAAATTTGGCTATCAGGCTATCATCAATCATGAACAAAGTGAGCGGGGAAAAAATCAGATCTAGTGCAATACCTTCATTTGACCAATTTGAGCCTCAAGTTGTTTGTTGTTCTCCTCAAACTTAGCGTTCTCATGACCCATCTTATCAACCTGTCCCTCCAGCTGGGCTACACTCGCATTAAGGGCATCCTTGGTAGCTTCCAGCTGGTTGTTCAGCTCTCCTAGTTTGTTCACCTCACCAGAAAGTGCGTCAACCTGTCCTTTCAAAGCGGCGTTGTTCTCAGCAAATTTGTTGTTTTCCTCTGACATTTTGTTCAGTTCACCGCTCAGTTTTCCGATTTCAGCCGTTAGTTGAGCGTTGTTTGCTCCGAATTTCTCGTTCTCAAGCTCTTGTTTTTTGTTGTTTGCAGCAAATTTGTTGTTTTCTTCCGTCATTTTTCCGACTTCTTGTTCCAGTTTTTTGTTGTTCGCGGCAAACTTCTCGTTTTCCTGCAAACCATTTACATTAATACTTATCATCACTCAAAATTTTACTTGCAGAATCACTAAACTTGATTGAAAACCACAGCAGACTTATCAAGTTAAAAACTGCCGCTAAAGTTCAATTTATAGTTGGTTTGTCAAACCTGAGCCATTTTGTCCACTTCACCCTCCAGCCGGTTAACTTCTCCCTCGAGTTTAGCATTGTTCGCTGCAAACTTGTTGTTTTCTTCTGTCATCTTACCGACCTCTTGTTCTAGCTTCTTGTTGTTGGCAGCAAACTTGTTGTTCTCCTGCAATGTTTGTTTTATGATTACGTCAATTTGTCTGAAATCAGCAAATGATTATTCAAGTTTTGTAGCTGAGATGAAGCCTTGCATGAATTTGAAAACGAAGGTGAAAGTAACAATTCCAGTAACAATATTGTTTTCCAATGAACCTCGGTCATTTTGTCGACCTCCCCTTCCAGTCGGTTAACATTTGCCTCCAACTTTGCATTATTAGCGGAAAACTTCTCGTTCTCTACGGCCAGATTGTCAACTTCTCCTCCGAGTCTGTTAACTTCACTTTCTAGTTTATCGTTGCTAGCTGCAAATCTGTCGTTCTCTCCCGACATCCTGTTCACCTGAACAGATATTTTACAGTTATTAATTATTGTTATTATTAGTTATTAGTTACAGTGGACGGTTATATTGATTGGGAAGTATTGTTTTGTTGAATAACCATGACATCGACATGCAGAAACATAATATGTTATCTTGTAAACTGATAATGTCATGCCAGTTATAGTACTACTTTAAAGCTTCAACTATACTATTGTCACTAATAAGCCATGAGATTCTTGGCTATTGGCTAGCTGTCAATGGCAATGTTGAACCTTTTTTCTTCTAAATACGAAGAAAGGAGGTTCAACGTTGCCATTAACGTCAGTAGCATCACTTTTAACGTATATAGCGTCATTTCAATTTACTGTATGTGGCGCCATGTGATGGTTACTTTTGAAACCAAACACATAGTTCATACTTCACGTAGTGATCCTAATCGTTTATAATATATAAGCGCCAATCACCATTTTGTGAATTAAATCTGCAGAAGTAACATAAGTGTTTAACTTTAAGTGCTGCGTATAACCAACCATAATTCAATTCCAATGATTAAATTATTCTGACATTATACAGTTACTGCACAGGTCACAGAACAGTAATGTTTTTCTTGTCGCTCTCAAGTTTGTGACTCGTGAGTATTCCGATTTAATTTTGGCAATTTATTTTTCTAGCTATGTATTACGTTAAACTTATAGCTGGAATTAACTATTGAACAAGTAGATATATGTTAATCATAGATACAGCATACATACTGTATATTGAGTATGTACTTACCTGGGGACCCCAGGCTATTATGTTCATAAACATAAAGATTCGGCGGAATGACAGGCTGAGCGCCGCCCAGTAAGTATGTACAATTACATACTGTATTTAGATTTGTTGAGCTAAGTGACCGCGTAATATAACGTTTCTCAAGGTTTGTTCGGTATAATTATGGTAACGCCATACAATATTGCAATGCAGAAATGAAGGAATAAGTTTCATGCGGTAGAAATATTTAGTAGCAAAAGGTTGTCATGCCCATTTCTCTTACAGGCGTATACCTCTTTTCTCAACAGATCGTTGTTTGAATTAGCACACACGTTTTCATTGTGTATCCTGTCTAACTGAAATTACCAACTCACTTAAAAGTTAAAAATTGTACACAAAAGTAGAAATCAGGAAAATTCTTTCAGCCAGTGGCTATCTTATTAGATTTAGGGAATGAGACCGCAAATCGAGATGAATTAACGAACCTCGTGTTCGAGTTTAGCGAACTTAGAAGCAGCAGTATCGAAGTGTGGTGTCACAAGAACGGTGAGCGAGCCTGTAGTTCCTCCCATTAGTTCCGAGATCTGAAGAATGAAATGTTAAAACTCGGAGAGGGGGAGCCTGTAGTTCCTCCCATTAGTTCCGAGATCTGAAGAATGAAATGTTAAAACTCGGAGAGGGGGAGCCTGTAGTTCCTCCCATTAGTTCCGAGATCTGAAGAATGAAATGTTAAAACTCGGAGAGGGGGAGCCTGTAGTTCCTCCCATTAGTTCCGAGATCTGAAGAATGAAATGTTAAAACTCGGAGAGGGGGAGCCTGTAGTTCCTCCCATTAGTTCCGAGATCTGAAGAATGAAATGTTAAAACTCGGAGAGGGGGAGCCTGTAGTTCCTCCCATTAGTTCCGAGATCTGAAGAATGAAATGTTAAAATTCGGAGAGGGGGAGCCTGTAGTTCCTCCCATTAGTTCCGAGATCTGAAGAATGAAATGTTAAAACTCGGAGAGGGGGAGCCTGTAGTTCCTCCCATTAGTTCCTCCCATTCCTCCCATTAGTTCCGAGGTCTGAAGATTGAAGTATTAAAACTCGGAGAGGGGGATTGGGGGTCGGGTTGGTGAATTATTACTAATGGATAACTAGGAGCAGATCAAATTAAGGGGAAGGGACATAAGAGCTCTAAAATCAGGGATCAAGTAACATGAGAGAAAGGGAAGATCAAACCTTTTTAGCTTCAGTATCTTTGTAACAATCATCGAAAGCAACAAAGGAGTATCCCATAAACTCGTCACTCTTTATAGAGTTGTGATCCCACAAGGAGACTGATATCACCTGTTTAAAATATCAAGGATTTATCATCGTAATGCTGTTTAATTTTCCATTTCCCTGACTTTATATATTATTGCGAAGGAAGGTAAGGGTAAGGTCTGCAGTTTAACCTCAAGTACTCAAGTATCAACTGATAATATTGAGTTGGTTCAATTGTTAATAATTAACATAATTAATTAATAAATCATTGATTATTTACCTCATCCCCCTCAAAAGCCTCGAATTCAAATGTTTCATTCCATTCTGGGTTCAGTTTACCTTCCTTCGTTTTAGTTTTCTGTACTTTTCCTCCGAGTTCTATCTGCAAAATTATGGAATTGAAGAAGTCACTGGTAATGAATTACAAAATTCAATCACAGAATCGCAATTTCTAGTGGCAGTGCTTTAGAGGACTGTTGATTACGACAAAGATTCATAAATAAACTACATAATTCGATAATATAAATGAAAGCACGGAAAAGTATGGAAACTGATAAATCTGCCATCTTACTTTGCAGTACGGATCGCTTTTTGACAGCAACTCCTTGTTTTTAAGATTACTTGCGCTAACAACTCTAACAGTGATCTTTCCGATCTTCCTTTTATCGGCAGCTCCCATGATACAGGATACTAAATCAATATAGCCCATCATTAATATTATTACAGGATAGGGTATAGAAAACAAAAAGTAAAACTGAACGTAAACAGCTGGTGCACATTTGAACGAGGTGTTATATTAGTATTTAGTAATAGAAGAAGATGCTCTTTTTGTATGCGTTTTAACTTTAATGTGATCTTCTTTGAGACCACACGAAACGGTAATACAAGCCGTCAAGCCAAATATAAATGATATTGATAATTAAAATATTATCAAGCTTTTAGGGAGGACTGCTAAAATAACAAAAACAATTAATATTATCAATTTAGCTAGGGGTCGTTCACATATTACGTAATCAGCTGAGGGGGGGGGGTTCCGAATGATTACGCTAGTGTTATTTTGACACAATAGCTATGTGTAAAACTGATTACGGAGGGGGGGGGGGGAATGTTCCAAAAAATTATTACGTAATATGTGAACGACCCCTTAGAAAAGGAACCTGTACTAACTGTTACTGACTGTTACCAATGTGTAAAAGTATCTAAGTGGAGACTGAAAAGAATTAGATTAGAACTTCCACAACGTTCACCAGCCGTTAATAAAAACCAGTTGCTGTTGAACAATGAACATGGGGTCCCCAGGTAACAGTTGTTGTTGAATGGATATTTGAAAAGTCCTCTCACATAAGTCAATATGATAGGTTCTGGTCGGATATCTGTCTTCAATATCCAGTACCGGTCCGGTTTCCGTTTAGAAGCTGTGCTTGGCCGGATATTGATCAGAAATTTCAAGAATTTTCAGGAAACAATTATTTGATTTCCTTTCGGGTTATTGAATCAAACATGTCGAGTTTTAAGGTTTAGATCTCGGGGTCAAGTGAGTGATCATGTGACACTGATAACAAATATAATTAAGTCTGAACTGTGGAGTTGAAGCAGCAAGGTACGTAAAATATATAAAACTGGTCAGACGATTGGTCAGTTGCAGTTTAATATCATCTGACCTGATGCGATCCGCTCTGTTAGCAATGTACTGCTATGAGATGGAGACTGAATAGAATTATATCAGAATTCCTGAATAACTAAAGTCGTTACAATGTTAATGTCAGTCCCGTTACTTGGATATATTGTATAGAGCACAGCACATGACATATTACTGTTTCGTCACTGAGTTTATAATTTTACAAGTTCATCCATTCATGTTACTCAGTCAGACCAACAGAATATAGACCAATGACTATAAATATAACATTACAATCGGGAGCGGACTGACATTTAAACTTTTAAAATGGACAGCTAGATGATCACATAGCAAAATTGATAACTCACAGAAAAATTTTGTTTTAGTGAGCACCAACCGGCACTTTGAAGTGGAAACAAAACATTTAATTTATTGGCATTGCAAATTCAAACAATTCAAGCAATTGTTTATCAAAAGTAGCAAAATCTACTGTGTTGCCAAAGGCTGGCAGAGGCTAAACTGCTATTTCTAATCAAAGCGTGACCAGTTTTGTTTAGAGCGCGGTCATTTTAAAAATGAGAATGCTCATCCGCATTTTCTTGGTAAAACCTTTGTTAAACCTTCGATGATTTACTTTTAGCGCGGCGCGCTATTCCCTAAAAAGAGGAATGAATGATTAATAATAATAAAGATCATTTTTTTGCATATCTAATCAGAGTTTATGATACGAACTACCGTCGTAATGTCGTATCGTCCGTCGTACAAGTTACAACCAATTAACAACATGATAGTCCATGGATGCACATCAATATCAACTTTAAAATAATAAACAAATACACACGCATTCACAACATCAACGTTGTTGATAATATTGATAAATTTATCAATATCATCAACAATCACCGTCCTTGGTTACACAATCAAAACACACAATACTAACGCCCTAAACAGAACAGGACATTCAACGATAGTGTCGATACACAAGGAGGAACAACAAAGCCAAATGGAATGTACGTGCTACATGACGTATGATGTAAGTGCTCGTTCCATATGACTGAGGAATTCCGTAATTGAGTGTACGTGTAATTGTATAGATATAGGCATCGTAAATCAATATCGACTCATGGAATTTGTTAATCGTATTTCTCAGTCATTGGATAAATAATAAAAGGAGAACAGCCCATTTACTTCGGCTCTGATGTCCCTACATCGTAATTTGATATAATCTTTCATTGATCAAAACTCGCATGATCCTAGTTACTTTTGATAGTTGTAAACCCCTTATACAACGCGTGTAGGAAAGAATTACTTTGGGATTGTATGTTAAACGTATCTGAGAGATAATGTGATTCATGAACCGAACTGAGGTCCACGCTTCAAAAGAAGATATTGGCGTTAAATTACATGTCCATCAGTAATTTCTGAATTTAATGAACAATGAAAAAACCATTTCAACTAACGATTCACATGCCACATACAGCAGCAAATAAATCACGACAGAAAAGCCATTACTTAAATAAACAACAAACAAGACATGAAACAACGCATCACATTGTCACAGTTAGTCTTATTATATATAAGTGTTACTGTTACCAGCAGTGGCGTAGCCGTAACGTTGCCTGTTGGCGCCCCCGCCGAAAAAGTGCCCCCCTGTTGGCGCAATGGCGCCCCCTCCCTAAAATTGAACAAATTAGGTGAATTTAGAGGATACGCCGGTGGCGGTAAAATCTCTAAAAAAGTGTGTATCTAGGACTAGAGCAAAACGCGCAGTTTTGCTTGCTACACGTTGTATACCTCTCGTGCACGCGAAGCGTGCACGCCGGCCGGCCGGCCGGCGAGAGAGGCCGGCGCTTCGCGCGCGCTCAAAAGGGGTTACAGCGTGTGTCAAAGTTTTGCTAGTAGTAGTATTTTAGTAAAGTTTTCGAAATTGTCCCACATTCAAACGACGATTTGGCGCCCCCCCTAAGACGGTGCCCCCCCCCCCCCCCCCCCCCCTGCACAGCGGCGTCAGCGGGGCCCTTCGTTACGCCACTGGTTACCAGTTTACCGTTAACTTAACACGCAACTAGGCCGGAGGGGCTACACAAAAATAATGTTTAGTAGCAACCGATAACGAAGCAGAAAACTTCCGCTCCTATTAAATCGCTCGCCCAAATTTTAAGAAAATCCTTGTGAAAAGGCCCTTTGAGCATGAAAGTAGGTAATCTAGATCGGTGTACAAGTATTTTTGGACGCTGATTCATGATTCCGAATCACCCCCCATGACGTAGGGTTAAAATGCTTCCCTGGAGAGTTATGGGCAAAAAACCGTTTTGGTCACGTGACAGGCTAGTAAAATACGAATTCGATTGTTTAGGGCCCGGGTTAGGGTTAGGGTTGTGGTAAGGGTTATGGTTAGCTTCGGGGTTATGGTTAGGGTTAGGGTTGGGATTAGGGTTTATGTAAAACCGTTTTGTACGGCTGCAAAACCATAAAAACCAAAGTCACGTGAAATTTTTGGGCGAGCGAATTAGTAAAAGCCGAAAACTTCATTTGGTTCTTTCTGAATCAGATATCTAGTGCGCTACTCTGAAGTCTGAGTCACTAATGACTAACAGCAAACAGAGTAAGAACTATTACCATTTCAGCGGTAACAGGATCCGAACTAGTATCTTAAAGATCTAAATCTATGTTATAGTGTATAGATTAAATCCTTAACCCTCCGACAATAAAACTTATAATATTTTCCGGTTCCGAATTGGAAGGGGTGTAATACTAATCCGATACGTGCGCATGATACAATATAGTGTCTAATATATAGAACGCCAGTGTTATTTGTTTTACAACTTGCCGCCAGCCAGTCTGAGGTCTATGCTGATAATACCTTGGCTTCCCTTGCGGGATATATCGGCAAATTATCAGCTCTCAGTGTCCGAGACTTTTAGTGGATATAATTCCCGGAAGGTATTATAAGAAATAATACCTTGGCTGCTTCGGGCCGCAAATTCCCTCCAGCAAGCTGTCGGGAATTATCACGAGCGGCCCGAAGCAGCCAAGGTATTATTGTATTACTATTAAAGAACATAACCTCGCATATCAAATCCACACTGGAATGGAGGACAGCATGTACATCATACACACCTTAACGGGTGATACTCGTAAAATATCTGTTCCTCGTAAATATATCTGTTCCATATCTGACCGTCGACGAGTCCAACTCGGCGCGCGTCCTGGCAGGTTGTAAACCTACAATACACACCCTGTACCATAAAGCCAATAATGCATTTTGCAAAATAATACTAACACTCTCAAACCACAGATCGGAGAGTATCAGTGTTAGGTAGGGGTATAGTGAATTGAGGGTGAACAGGTTTGCAAATATCTCACGGCCTGCATTAGTATCTTATAAAATATTTGTACTGAGAGACGGGTAGTCGGTCGATTAATTTAAAGTCTTTATCAATTTAGAAAATATTTGGAGTCAGCGTAACAAGCTGAAAGTTGTAAGGTTTGTATGATTGAGATGTCTCACGGCGTGAAGCTGTAGTTAGTATTTTAAGCCGTTGTAAATTAGTAGTTATTTGGAATTGTGACGTTCCCGGTGGGAAAAGCAGTGGCTTAAAGATTGTTAAAGTTTCAAATTTATTAGAACTTATAGTTAAAAGAATACTTACAATTATTTTAACAGCATTGATTGTTGATTATTGTGTTGACGAACTAGCCGAGGTGTTACAAGAGTGCCATGAGAATCAACTCCCCCTTCAACTCCCCAAAGACCTGTCAACCAGCACTATACAAAAAGGGAAGCTCGCCTGCTGCTCGCTGCCTTTCGCCTTCTGCATTCATCTGTCTCCTATCATGGCCCGGGGTCTTGTTCTGCTGTGTCCGTTCTCTCTCCACATGTTACTCATTTCTATCATAGGTTCGTAATTTAGATTAAGTTCTTGATCATGTTATTGTCATTGCTTGCATTCGTATCAAAGGCTGATGTTAAGATTAATTCGTACTTATGTCAATTTCCGTCGTATAATGCTTAATATGCTGTTAACATACATAATATCTCATCAGATTCCTCGCACTACTAGTACTACCTGTTC